AGTATTGTCACCAGCTTGTCCACCAAGCCATCGGAACCAAATTGTTCCAGCTATTGGACCATAAAACCGAGCTTCGGCGAATTTCTCCGTATTTTTCTCAAAAACCTATGAATCCGAATATTATTTAAAAAATCGTTTAATGTAAAAGAAAATTTGTATTTAGAAAAATATCATTAATTACCGTGATAGAAGCGCAAATTACTCTGGACGAATATGAGTCTTTTAGCAATAGCCCTTTTCCCCATAATCCTTTTTCACCTGTTAGAGTTACACCTGGAACTTCAACAGAACCAGTTTCATTCCCAGGCATTTCCAATGGACCAACTAGATCCGTCAAATCGATTATGCTACGAGCAGTAGATCGAATATATTACTTGATAAAATATATTAAGATAATAATAAAAAGGACATTTCAAATACTTTTCCCCAAGATAACGTCGACTGCATCGATCGTCTATGACCGTGTAGTCGACAGGAAATTGAGTGATAGACCAGAACCATTGTTGATCTGGATATTGAAGTGTCGTTTGTAAAGCGAATCGAATTCTTATGGAATTCTCCGTTTTCGGCTCAAACCGGACCTCTCCATGAAGGCCACCAGCAGATATATAAGCTGCTAGTTTGAGTGCATTTCCTGTAACCACTGTATAAATAGATAAGAAATGTTTAAAAACAAATATTGTCTCTCCTCATCAAAAAGCTAATTAAAATAACAATAGTTATATCGATTTTACGACTCTAACGTGGAATAGAATATATATGTTTTAAATTTGCTTCTTGTATGCACACACGTGTTTTTAGTATACAAATATTATCATTTTAGAAGAACGATTCGTAATGATCATATCACACATTAATGAACATTAAACCTTTCACTCACCGCAACTTAATAAAAAAAGCCACCACATTATCGACTATAATTGAAGATCATTTACAGCATATTCTTAATGTTAAATTGATCTGTTAAATCGTCATTCACATGGTTTGCCATACGGCAGGAAACTGTAGGCTTATAACAGTGGCCAGACAAGGTAACGCCTCGTACTTTCTTATTTCTTCGAACGGGCATGGTGGGAGTCTTAAGAAAAGGAGAACGATGACCTTTGCATAGAAAAGTAAAACCTGGCAATATATCGTCTAAAATGGAACGATTTTTAAACCGGAAAAAACATAAACAATGTTTTTTTTATGAATTATTACAACTATCTGTCCTATAGTTTAAAAACAAAAATTTGACTATCAATTAATTGCATAAGTATTATTAAATATCTGTCAAACATTCAAACATTAATAAATAACCTTGCTTAGATTTGAAAATTAATCGGCGTATCGGAAACTAATGGATAAAAATGATTAAAGGTCAAGAACAATTAAAACCCATTTTTAATGCGTTGAAACTATTTATCACTTTCGATTTTATACCAAAATTAGCAAGATATGTAGTATTTTATATAAGAAATTGTATCAACAAAGTCGTGTGAGTAATGATTTATTCTACGTATTTTTATTTAAATATTTTTTATTAGAAACATTATCTAATGTGAATAGTTTCTATTAGACTTTATCAAAAGAACGTAATAACGAAACGATTGAAAAGAAGAAAAAGTCGACTCTTTGAAGGTTGTAATTATAAAAGTAAAAACATTAAATGTAAATGTGATTGTAACCGGTGCACGCAAGTATTAACTTTTTTGTGAATCGTGCTAAGATTTCTATTAATTTGTAATTATAAAATATTGTTCTCTTAGTAAATACAGAAAAATCCATAGCCGTATTTTAGAAGCAAACTTTATGACAAACTTTGTTTACAATAATCGGCCAAATAAACACGAAGTGTATGTGCTATTAAATAATTATATTTTTTTATTAACATTACAATATCTTTAATTACATTACAGATTAATTAGTAGTAAATGCAAAAATTTCATATAGCAAGCCAAAACCATTGTTATCTATAATTTTATAAATATTTTATTCATATTTTCTTGTTTTAGTTGTACAGACAAGAATCAAACGCATACATGGACTTTGAAGCAGACACCGCTACAGGATCACAGAGACGTGTATTTTATCATTTACTTTTCATATTTGTTTTTTACGTGGGTCGCCTGTTTGATAGCGAAATTTATTTTTCACGTAAATTGGACAGCGTTCAGTAGTAGTTACATGTGTTCCTCACTAAATATTCCAATAAAACTTTTTAAATGATTATTCTTTAATAATAAATTTCATTAGAAATTTAATTATTTTTGTATGAAGTTTATTAGTAAGCGTTCGAAAAGCGCTTCTCACTTATTGAAAAAATAACGATCAACAAAATACGGTGACAATATTTGAAGGAAAGCTCTTGATCATACGGACGGATGGACATGGTGGACAAAAATGCAGCAAAGTGCAGCGTGTATGCCGTTGCTGCAACATGATGCAGCAATCCCAAGCAAATCCGTATGTTCATCGGTAAATTCTTGTTCACATTTCGAATCTTGTAGTACGGAATTAAACGAAGAGTTGAATGAAATGCAAACGGATAATTCGATAATTACTGAAATTATCAACAAGTATGTACACCACATTGTTTGAATATGTTTTATTAAATTAAAAATTTGATAACCGATTGTTTTGTTAACAGATCTTTAGAGTATAAGAGAACAATCAAATGTTCACAGTCACGTCGTGAAATTTCTAAATCGGATTCCAAGATTGAATCTGGTCGAAATAAAAAGTAAGTATTTATATGTGTGATTCAAATTTGAGGAATTTCATAAAATCAAGTATTTTTGTTGTTGTTTATTTTATAAAAAATTTAATTAATATGAATTACAAATTTTTTATGTTTATGATTATATATATTTTAGGAAGACTTCAGATATTTTTAAAACCGCATCAACAAAGACTAGGTGCGTTCGACAACGTATGAATAGAACAAAAAATTCAGCTCTGACGAAACGGAGTTTCATAAAAAAAAGGTCCTGCAAAATGAATTACAAAACTGCTTCTTTTGATCCATCTGTATAATATTAAGTCTTCCCGGTAGTGTTCGCTATAGGCATTGATGTCGCACTAGTCAAAATTATTTTTGAATTGATTGTAAATTAATTATCGTCAAATAAGTGTACACATTTTATTTCAATAAATTTATTTTAACAAATTATTTTCTGTATACAGGAAGAAATCTATATACATCTAAAGAAAACAATAAAAATATTGTCTTTATTTTTAATGATATGAAAAATGCTTATGAAATATTTTAATTGATTTGAAAAGAATTATGTGGAAACAAGAATTTATTGTTGAATTATTTTTTATAAATTGTGTCCAGATTGTCGCTATCTTTTAACCAGCATGTGTGTATTTTTTCTACTACATTTTGAAGCAGGTAAAAAAATACATTGAAATATACCTACCATTTAACTATTATAATCTTCAATTGGCCTTGATCACAAAAATATAATAAAATTGTAAAACAATGTTAGGATGATGTATATATAATATAAATTTACAGTTTATGTCATAAATGTTCACATGTGTTATAAATGACACCCTCCATTTTTATTTTATATTTAAGGTAGTTTTAACTATAATTTATCTTGCAATTAGTATAATACATTTCAAAATAATATCCAATATGTAATCCTGGTTTTCTGTTACATGTTTCGTAGTGATATCTACATTAAAACATTTCTCTATTTAAAAGAGATTAAAATTTTTTGTTAAGAATTCTACGTTTCTATTAATATATTGCAACCAGTAGCAGGATAGAAGTCTATAAACGAGTAAGTTTAACTTTTAAACATCTGTCGAAGCGAAAATAATTTTCACTATTTGTATTTTGACATGATGGAAATATAAAATTATATAATCCTTATATACCGATATCGGCAAACTTATCATTATTTTTTAACTAATGGGAAAGAAATAATAATGTTTTATTAAAATAAAATGTGTCTATAATCTTCTTCAAGTGATTCTATTTGTTATGTAGTAAATGATTAATATAAGCATTATGAATAATGAATGATGAATGATGAACAAAATCAGGTACTGAAATCAATTCCAGCGTTAGGGTTGAATCCTCTATAAAACGGTTTTTATAATAAATATTTATCATAATTAGTATATAACATATATATACAGATTCACGATATCGTGAAAGTACAGAAACATGTCGTGGCTCTCAAATATCGGGCAGTTATTTTTAGTATCCACGTGCTTTGGATATCGGAGCAGAGACCGAAAACGAAAGCCAAAAATAATGAGTCATCGTCAGTAACTACAATTCTTTAAATGACTGGAATGAAAATGTTATTATATGCCAATGTTCAGTAAGAATCTCAGAGACGATTATCCACTTCAATGGATTAGAAAAAACTTATATTTTTTGTTAAATAAACCTAAAATTCATAATCCATAATGCAATACAGACCAGATAGTTTTGTCTTCATCTTGGCGTCTTCAATTTGTACATAAAATCTAAAAATGACTTGAATCAAAAATTTCCGGATCATTACGATCAAATGAAAGTACAGAGAAGATCTATTACGTATGCACCAGAGTAAGATGCGAGAGCTAAAATAAACATATAGGTTGAGCGACAATATGGAGTCGCCAAGTATTACAACGACGGATGTGTACGGAAGACAAATAAGAGAAGAAGCTAAGTTTATTTCCGATCTACGTACAAACATAGTCGATTGTTTCATTTATGAAGGAAAGTCGATCTTCATCGTTATCTCCGTTCGTTTCCAGGGGTACCCTTGACTTATATTTTCGTGCTGAGAAACGAATCCCCGTAGCTTAAGAGAAGAGAGTAAAGCGGTAGACAGCGGCACCGATCGCGCCGCCGTTCCTACGATCCTCGGCAAACTGTTTTAGTCGAAACGTCGAAAGGTTCGCTATTTTGAGGCTGCTCGCACTAAATATGGTCAGATAGGCGTTGGCGTTGTACCCGGGCTGGGCACCCCTGCACGGACAGCATAAGATGGTGGGGGAAATCTACCAAAGTTACTTAGACAAGTTCACCTCTATGATTCGGACAGTTGGTTCGTTGTAACCATCTCGTACTATTCTCTTAGAAACCAACTGTAGATATGGTAAGTAGGTACCAGTGTTGTTAACGCGGTACCATTATTAGCTCGTAAAACTTAACCGCGAACACAGAAAAAAACAACGATCTTTCATGGAATTTTTCGCGAAGCATAATATTCAAACTTATATACTTGTATTTCTATCTTACGGGAAGATCAAGGAAGAACGCAACATGTTATCTAGACGTGATAGCTTGATTAGTGGTCGAAGGTTCTATGCCAAGACATATCGTACTACAACGTTGGATCTCATGAGGATGATCGATCGATGGATTACGCGGAGTGTGCCGTAAATGATATGCCAAGTGTCGTATCGATGAATGGGGTGCAGCTTGCAGCCTCCATGTCCGCGGATTGTGTTAATGGAGTGCAAGAGTGTTCTCCGTTAAGCTCTTGGCCATTCGCCATTTGATAGTTTAGTGCACTTTCATTTCTCTTATAAATGATTAGCTTCAGAATATAATGTATCTGCTACTTATCTTCACCTGAAAAATTATAAAAGATTTATATTTTTCTTGATAGCTCCAAGTTTTTAAGATATATCATGTATCATACTCTTAGCGTTGCCCACATGCTTTGTAAGCAAATTTGTCACCACAAAGACGATGATATTAAGCTGACTTCCTCATTACGTTAATGACAAACCTAAAACAAATTTTCAATAAAAACATTTTTCACATATTTTTATCAAATACTACAAATACTAGAGAAAGGCTACCCAAAAAAGCACTCATTTCTATCAAAAATTTGATTAAATATTTCTCAACTGCATAAGATTGTTCATAAAAATATAAAAATTACATAATCCTCGTAACTCGAGAGGCGGCTCACCGTTGACGGCGATCATTCTATATACGTCTTGGCTACAAGTCGACAGTACTACTGATAGGGTAGTTCTATTCTTAGTATCAGTAAAAGATGTCTTCCAAATTTTTCTTCAATCGACTTTTCTCACAATTTCTATCGCAAAATTTGGATTTGTCAATTTACAAAAAACTTTTTTCACGTTAGTGATAAGCTATAATATCGATAATATATTTTTAAAAGCAAAAGAACGCTCAGTTTAATTTAAAATTTATCATCAAAGTACTCCATTCTCGTTGTACGCGTGTAACGGATTCTAATTAAACACGGTACAAATTTGTAAGGATATACAAAATTATGTAAAACCTGTTGCGTCGGTACTATCCCAAGATTTTGGAATTTATCTAATTTTTCGATTTATCTAATCAATTATCTAAACTCATAACTGGTCTTACATAGACAACATTAAAATCTTTTATTAAATAAGTTATAATATTTTGATGGAGAGGTGTCTAATTCAATGAGACAATGATTAATTTTAGGCGGATAAGGAAAAGAAGAAGAAGACCAAAAAGAAGGAGGAGGCAGCTCCAGCGCCTCCTCCTCCAGAACCTGCGCCAGCACCAGAAGAAAAACCACCAACCCCTACTGGAACACCTAAGGAATCTGGATCTGCAAGAGCAAGTAGTCGTGGTAGCCGAAGGGCTAAACGAAGCGGTTCCAGTGTCTTTTCTATGTTTACTCAGAAACAAGTCGCTGAGTTCAAAGAGGTACATTTGCTCGAACAAAAATGTTAAGAAAAATATAATGAAAATGAATAAAGCTTTCTTTTCCGTACAATTATTAAAAAGTTAGGGATTTTCAATTTAAACGAAACAAAGTCCAATATGACCTTAAAAATGTACGAGAAAGAAAAGCTAAGGCGAGCTTAAAACTGAGTTTATTGTCAGCAAATGTGCTTAATTTATTTTGACTGGATTTACAGGCATTCGGACTTATGGATCAAGATAAGGATGGTATTATTGGTAAAAATGATTTACGTGCGGCCTTCGACTCGGTAGGTCGTCTTGCTACTGACAAGGAAATCGATGAGATGCTCAATGAGGCACCAGCACCTATCAACTTCACCCAATTGTTGAATCTATTCGCTGTTCGTATGTCAGGATCAGGTAATTGAACAAAACTTCATGTTTTATAGATTTAAATAATAAACTAAATTTTCACGATCAAAATGGTTTTTTTCTGGTAGGCGCTGATGACGATGATGTTGTAACTAATGCCTTTAAGACCTTCGACGAGAATGGCAAAATCGATGGCGAAAGGTAAGTAATAAAATCTATAATAGTAATTCTTTTAATAAACTTTGATCCAAAAACAATGAAAATTTTCAATTAAAAAAATGATTTTTGTAGACTGAGGCACGCCTTGATGACCTGGGGCGACAAATTCAGTGCAAAGGAAGTTGATGAAGCCTATGATCACATGTACATCGATGATAAAGGTTTTATTGATACGCCAAGTCTCATCGGCATGTTAACTGGCACAGGCGAAGATGAAGAAGATTAAACTTATATTATTAACACCCGAAAAAAGAAACTCATTAAATTTTTATTCATTGCAAACGAATTTTCGTGTTATGTCAGGTTCGCCGAGACCGTTTCTAAAACATAATGACAAAAAGTATAGCACAGATCAAACGCCTAGCATTCCCTTATCCTGTTCTCGATGGTAAAGATTTAGCTTTTTTAAAGGGACATGTACAAAAAAAAAACGATCTCAATCCGTTGAGAACAAACATTATCTGCCAGGATTATTTTCGTGGCGTGTGCACTTACTGCGTAATCTGAGGATAAACGAGACTTCGAGTCATACCATATATAATATCGTTCATATAATAAAAGTATTTTCAAATACCATAACGAGACGACTCTCTCTCTCTCTCTCTTATTGTGCAGTAGTCATCATAAAATTGCAAGCGATCTTATGTGTATGAAAGAGAAGCTGGTTATTTTCACGCCAATGTTATTCTTGATTGATTTCTGAATTTTCAAGCAAATATAAAAAGTACATTTTTGTGGTATATTAAAATATTTCAAATACATTGTAAATGTAAAATGGTCTTTCATTTGACTAATTATCTCCTATTACATAATATATACTCCTTCCCAAAATTATTCCAAAATTAAAATTATATATTTGAAGAGAAAAAGAGATTGAAGATACAATCATACGAAAGAGTCTAACTAAAAATATCTGATCCAAATCACGAACGTTTTCGTTATCTGATGAGACCCGTGCAAGTGTTTTTTTATATCATACTAGGAAAGACTCCTTCTCGATTTAAAATTGGCTAAGTACCAAATTATATGTTGATGATACTTGGCTAAATTTATCTACGCCTAAATAATTAATGCGTACACCGCCTGCCACGAACATTACCGATCAACTATTTTATCAAACTAACATGAGATTTTCTGGAATATCAGAGAAATTAATAAAATTCAATTACATATGACGTATGATAAATATAGCAACTTATACCTATGATCATTATATCTATATGATATACATTACTATAAAAGTATATACATATATCTATACGTTATGGAATATTTGTTTTTATAAAATTTACCTTATACAAAATGTTAATAAATTAAATTGATAATATAAATAAAATTAAATGTCATTCTTTTCTACTTATCGTTATAACATAAGTGTTACAAATAATCAAATGTATTAAATAAAATAAAATATGACACCGAAAGGAATTAGTGATAGTCGTGTCTATAATCAAATGAGAACAAAAATCAATAGAACATTAATAATTAATCATTTATTATTATATATTTATATTTATACGAAAGATAAATATATTGAAAGATGAAATAACAATTAAAAGAAATTAATTTCGTTTAAATTTCACAAATAAATTTAATAAGCTTTAATGCGGTTAGTTACGGTTTAGTTACCAAAATGGCGCTAAATCAATTTAAATTCAAATGCAATGTTAAAAGAAATAGAACAACAATATAATCTTCGTGCAAATAATAATTATTGCAGCTCTATTTTTAAGAGATTTTTTTTAAATAATGCCTTTATTATATAATGGAAATAAATTAATTTATTAATTAGTAATACCTACATGTAAAACAAAATACATTTTTACTATTATCTTGTAAAATATAAAGATAAATTAGAATGTACAACTTACCAAGACGATAACCCGATGATCGAAGTATTCCTCGTAGTGGGTGCAGATGGAATGGAGCGGTTGTACCGTTAAAAGCAAAATGACACATAGACGTTGCCATAAAGACAGGTGGAAAACCGGAAATCCCAATGAAGTACTTGTGCCAAATGACGCACTTTACGTTTGGCTTGTAAGGTTTCTTAATTTTTGCGTTAATTAAAATTAATTAAAAAAAAATCATCAATAATAGTTGTTGTTTCTTCTAATTTCTTTATAAACAACATAGTTTCAATTTTTTATCGATAATAATTGATAATAAGTGAAGATTACCATATCTCAACATATTAAATGATATTCTTAGGAAAATATATTTTGTGACATCCAAACTGATCTTGCTGGAGATGGTACCAGCACCAATGGAGGGGGCCTATCTTAAATCTATAAAAGAGCGTGTCCATCTAATTTCTGAACAGTATGAAAATTTATGATAATATGGATTAATTAATAGTAGTTATTATAGATCTTATGAACTATTAAAATTTTTGTGTATCGTAATAATTGAAATTTAATTATTCCTGCATAGTTCAGTCTAGGATAGAGAAATTAAAAATGCTTGAATCTGATAAGGAAGAAAAATTATTAGAGAATCAAGAGAAAAAAGTAATATAAATATTGTTTCTTAATTATTTATACAGTTAACTCCGTAAAATTATTGTGCGTTCATAAAATAAGAAACGTTCAATTATTATTCTTAGAAAAAGAAGAAATCATCCAAGGTATCTCAGGGACAAATGAAAGAAAGTGTTAAAGAAGTTACAGAAGAAAAAGAAACGAAAAAAGAAAAGGAAAAGGAAACAGAAAAAGAAAACGAAAGAGAAAAGGAAAGAGAAAAATGTGAGGAGAAGATTACGGATGCAGAAAATTTACAAAATAATGTTTCTACGGATAAGTTGATGGCATTTAATGCTGTTTCACTACCCAAAGAAATAAAGATTAAAGAAGAAGTCGGAAAAAATGACCTGATCAAATTATCAGAATTAAAAGAAGTAACTTAACTAACTTGTTATAATGTTAAACCATTTTTCTCTTGAACCAGCTTCACTCTTAAAACATTTACAAACATATTTTGGATATTTTCAGGCCTTTCATTTGTTTGATTTTAATTGCGATGGTATCATCGATTCTGAAGATCTAAAATTTACCTTTATAACCATGGGCAAACCCGATGTATCTGAAGAACATATACAGCAAATGTTATCAGAAATATCGACTCCAATAGACTTCGATGCGTTTATCACGCTTTTTGGGTAAATTAAAAAATATCACATAATATACAAAATAATTTGAAAAAACAAAATTGATTTTATACATGACATATTTAAAATTTATTAATAGAAAAAAAGTAAGTGAAATGGACCCAGAAGAAGTTTTCACTGCTGCACTATCAACTTGGGATATGAGAGACACTGGAATGATACCAGAAAAAAAGTAATGAGCTTTAAAAATAAAACATTAATACAGGTATGAAAATAATGTATGTTATGTTCTTTTTTTTAGAATAAGAGACGATCTTCAAAAATTTGGCGATAAATTTACAATTAAAGAAGTTGATCGTGCTTTGGAAGAAGCTCCAATTTATTTGCAAGATAATGATGAAATGATAGATTACATTAAATTTAGTAATAATATTTGTGGTTTTCAAAAACTAGCTAAAGCCAGACAATATCAGAAAAAATTAGACAATGCTTAGAAAATATTCATTAATAGTTTGTAAAATCAAATGATAAATAGAAAAATATATTCTACATCCCGCAAGCTCTAAAATTATGATTATCACAAAATAAAAATAAAATAGATCGCATTAAAGTAACGATTATTTCGATATAATACATATTTGTAATCTAAAGATTTAATAATAATTCATGAAATAAAAATCTTATCTTTTACTGTAGTAATCAATTACATCATTTACGTACTACTACATATTATTGACCATCCTTCTTCGGCCTCTCACCAAATATAGCAGTACCCACTCTGACATTTGAACTCCCAAGTAATATCTATAAAAAATGTAATTAATTTACCTCTGATTAATATATTTCATGTAAAGATAAAATATTTTATAAATTTACCGCATGTTCATAATCGGTAGACATTCCCATAGAAAGTTCCACTTTTTTTTTATCAAGACATAAATCTTTACATAGATCTTCCTTACATTTTTTCAAACGTAGAAAATCTGGATTTGGACCGTTTGATACATCGTATCCGTACGCACCTATTGTCATAATACCAGTAAATTCCAATTGATTACAGGTGTTTAAAATATATTCCACAAGTTCTGATAATTCTTCTACTTTGCAACCATTTTTTGCTAAAAATATTAAGCGACATAAATAAAGTTATATACATTACAATGGAATATGAATGTTACTTGATATTTTTATTATTACATTATGAGAAACACATAAATAAATTTCTACATCATTACTATTGAAAACACTAATTAATGATTTTTTAAATATCATCGAAGTTAAATATTGTCAATAAAAGATTAAATTAAATATAAATATATTAATCAGCTATTCATTTGGATTTTTAACAAATACTAAAATATAGAATGTAATGATGTATAAGAAAGGAAATATACAAAAAAAGGAAGACAAATAGTGTAATTAATAATATTTTATTATAAATAAAGCATATTATGGTAAAATAAGAATAAATGAAATAAGATGAAATATATTTTATGGAAAAGATAAAATGAATTACTTTTAGATTTACTTAAAGTTCAAATTATTGAATGTCATTTAAAAAATTGTATTATACCTTCTTCTTTACTTGTATTCACTTGTACCATAATTTTCAATTTTGAATTATCATCACATATTTTTGAATATGCGTTATTGAGTGCATTTGCAATCGATTTGCTATCAACTGTTTCAATAATATATAAATTTGGTATGGATATAATTTTGTTCACTTTATTTTTTTGTAAATGTCCAATAAAATGCCATCGAATATCTTTGCATTTTTCAGTGATAGATAAATCATATGCTTTATCTTTTAATTCATTAACATAATTCTCTCCAAAATGTCTTTGACCAGCCTCATAAGCCGCAACAATCAGCTCTGGAGGTTTAATTTTGCTTACAGCTACTAAACGAGGTTCAAAATAGGCATATTCCTGGGAAAACAAATTAAGATATTGTATTTTCTTTAAGAAGATATATTCGTAAATAAATAATAAATTTCCATACATGAAATGCGAGGTTGATGTGATACTACCATTAACAATAATTGAATAAAAACTTCACTAATACGATATAGTAACTATTTTCATAAAAAAAAAGGATTAGAAAAAAGGATTAGACCTAAAAAACACTTTCCCGGTGGTATCTAATTTATTGAATGTACATTAAAACATTTATTGTGTCAAATTAATATGCGAATTAAATGTTTATTTAAAATGGTACATCAGTGACTTTTCACTCAATGTTAATTCTGCACAATCCCAAGGTTCGTAAAATATATTCCCTGTATATATTTGTAGCACGATCCTCTTTTCTGTACTATAGATGGCAATTTAAATTCGATATTTCCTCGATGACTGTGAACGGCAGTACGTCCTGGCAGTAACTGCACTGCCTACATCATTCTTTCAAGATTTACCTCCAAAACCACCCATTAAATTACCCAATCCACCTGCTGCTCCCTGTTGTAATTGCTTCATGATATTCTGAAGGCCTGGCATACCACCCATTTGTTGTAAGACACGTGGGTCCATCATTTTTGCCATTTGATGATTTAATTTCGCCATTTGTGTTGGATTAACATTTTTAGCCATATCGCCTGCTTTGAATAAGCCTTTGATACCACCCATTTTTTTCACAACAGCTGCAAACTTTGTATACTGTGTTATTAAGTCTTTAACTTCTTTTTCTGTTATGCCAGCACCTTGTGCTACTCTCACAATTCTTCCTGGTTGTTTACTAAATAATTTGGCACCATCTCTGCTGTCTAATTCCGCATCATTCATACTATCCATAATAGTCATAAGTCTCTTTAACCTGGCCATTGATTCTTGCTCAGTTCCTTTTGACATAAAATCTTGACTAAATCCAGGAATCATTCCCATTAATTGCGAGAATGGACCCATTTTCATGATATTTTGAAACTGTTCATACATGTCTCTTAAAGTAAATTGACCATGTTTAATTTTTTCAAGTAATTCTTCATTATCATCTAGGTTCAATTCATTTACTTTATCGATAAGTCCTTCTATATCTCCCATACCCAATAGCTTGCTAATAAATGGTTTTGTTTTAAATGGTTCCAAATCATCTATATGTTCTCCTGTTCCAACAAATGTTACAGGACTTTGCGTTGCTGCAACAGCAGACAAAGCACCTCCACCTTTCGCATGACCATCCAATTTTGTTATAATGATAGATCCAACATTAACACGTTCTTTAAAAGCTTTAGCTTGAGCTTCGCATGCTTGACCTATTGTTGCATCCATTACAAATATTATATTATCTGGTTGAACAGCATTGGCAACCTGTAACATTTCTTCAAATAATGATTCTTCTTGTTTGTGTCTTCCACTGGTATCAACAATAATAATTTCATAGCCTTCTTTCTTAAACATTTCTACACCTTCTTGTGCAATAGCCACTGGATCCACTTCTGTATAACTTCCATAAAATGGTATTCTTGCTTTAGTAGCATTTTGTTTTATTTGATCATACGCACCTGCACGGAATGTATCCGCGCAAACTAAACATGCTTTCCAATTTTTTTTTAAATAATGATAAGCCAATTTGGTACAAGTTGTTGTTTTACCTGCTCCTTGTAAGCCAACAAACATGATCACATTAGGACGGCCTTTCACAGGTTGATATGCTTTTACACCAGGATCTATTAATTTCACCAATTCTTTGAAAACAGCACTTTGTATCATACGTCGCTTATTAAGACCTCCAGCCATATCATCAAAATCAATAACGGTGCGAACATTTTCCCTTAATTTCTTGACTAACCTAATATTTACATCAGCTTCGAGCAATGCTGCACATATTTCCTTCAGCATAGAATTTAATACTTCTTCATTTATTACGGTCGCATTGCTGAGCGACCGCAAAGCAGACGTAATCTTACGTCCTAGGTCCGCTAAGACCATTTTCGTTTATTTATTTTTCACTCTTCGATACGAATATTCTTGTTTAGTGGTTAGAAAATTGACGTTGAAAAAATATGTCAAGATTATTCCAACTTGGCCAACACGACATGACGACACATCCGGTTAGTCATTGATTATGCAATAAGCAAGACTGTCACGATACTCCAGTTTTAGTAACTAAACGTTTTAAATGTCGATTTATATTGAATGAATATTTAAGTATGTATGTGAATCCTTACGAAAACCTTCGTGTTTTATTTTGTTCGTATATTGCTCTAATGATTATCATTCACGATCGCCATGATAAATCTGTGACCATAACAAAATATACAAACATAATGGTCGTAACCTCTAATGTAAAAATCCCTATTTATGCACCGCATAAAATAATGGAAAGTATTTTATCGATCTAATAAAACATAAAAAATATTTTTTACAGGATTGTAAGAAATATGTTTCTATCTATACGCATATAATGTATAGTCAAGGATAATGAGTTTCCGATATAAAATAAAGTACTAACAATTGAAAACTAGCATCGTATTTTTACGAAAAAACATGTAGCAATGGTTATGTAGATACGTATTTCTTTCCACTGTTTTACGCTTTTTCCCTCTTATTTGCTCAATAACAAAATGGCGACGTACCGGATCTCGTTTAGCAGATGCAGTGATGATTTTACTGCGAACTAATTTTAGACCTTCAACCACGTCTTCCATCTTGTATTTTTTGATAACACGATTAACAATTCGCTAAAAGTAACAAAATATTCTCAAAATTATTCAATTTAATCGATTCGTTCATGTACATTATTTAATTTATTCATTATTTTAGTAAATAATCATTCAATAGTTTTCAGTATATTATCCTTAGAGAGGATACTTGGATGTACTTAGATATTAGTATCAAAATGCATATGAAAAATAATGTTTTATAACTTAAATAATTAAAACTCGATATTACCATATTGTGAAAAGACGACGACTTTTAGAAAGAAAAAAGATAATTTATAAAACAGTATAAATTTCAAGTGCGTTACAAATATCTTCTATTACTTACATTCGAATTTATTGTTTTTATGAATAAAGAAGACAAGTAAACGCATCCGAGAGAATCCAAAGCAAATGTAAGCGAACCTATCGGTAACGAAACCAAACTAAAATCTTTTTTCTTACACAAATTTGGTTCCCCTGATATGAGTAAATGTTCATAAAATTTTCTTAAAAAAACATATGATTATAGAAGTTCACTTAATAACTAACTTGAGTTAATTTATTACTGTTTGTGTTAACACTGCGCTCGGTTGTACACAGGTCCCCGTTATAAAAACTTTGATATGTCAACAGAAGGGATTAAATATATCACTAATTCTACATACACAAGAAGTTATAACATGTCGACGCTATGACAGCGTGAAAATTAATCTTGACTGATAATAACGATGTTTCAAAGTTTTTTAAATGTCATCCATCTGACGTATGCATTCAAGTATCCAATTAAATGAAAATTCTAGTGACTTGATGAACGATAAAATGTTAAGGACAACATATTTAAACTTTTAAACAAATACAACAACGTTTTATAAAAGGAAAAAAGTAAAGCTATTGTAAAAATTGTGCATATCTCTTGACGTAAAGCATAATAAAAGAGTACTTCGGTATTAACAATTTTTTCAAGCTATCCTGTAAATTTTGACTTTATTCAAAGAATAACGATTAATACTATCATGAATATAATGGATATTAAAGAAAATCCTGAAAATTACCATGTTGGATCGTATCATGCTTTGTTGATTGCATTCAAAACAATGGAAGAACGTTGCCAACAATTGCAAACCAGATTAGCTGCTGTAGAAGAAGAAAATTTGTGTCTGAGATTAGAATGTGGGAAGGACATGTCTACTGCGATTATCAAAGTCAATGATAATGACGAAGCTGTAATTCAAACTTTACAGGTTTGTATTGTTTTTCCTAGTATACATTTATGTTTAAATCAAATTTCCTACTTTTATATTTTACTTTATTTAATAGAAAAAAGTAGAAGATCTTAAAAAACAAAAATCGCAGCTTACCCATCATGTTTTTATGGTTGCTGCAGAAAACCGTCACTTATGGAATAGACTAATCAGGTTAACTAAAGCCAATAAGTCTTTGGGATTACATTTCACTAAAATTTCTGATACATTAAAACAGCATTCTACTCAATCATTTGATATTATGTCATATAGTTTTTGTAATGTTCCATCTCCTGTTAAACAAGAAACAAATAAAAATTGTACGTTGAGTTCAGATAATGGTAAATATATTAACGTATAATTGAAATTAATATTTACAATAAAATATTTTTTAAATGAAAATTCATAGCAATAAAAAATATGTACAGGTGACAAAGAACAGAGTTTGGAAGAAATATCACTTAAACTTATTAACAGTATTATGTTGGAAAAAACAAATCTTGAACAGCAATACGCAGAGGTAAATATCAAGTATTTTTCTTGAGGCATTTACTACTTAAGATTATAATTCATTAAGAATATTTATTGTATAAAAATAATCTTATAATTTGATGTGTCTTAGATGGTAGAATTACAAAATAATCCTGATTTAAATTTACAAAATATTGGTTTTACTTATCCGGATGATTCTGATACTGACTCATTAGAACAATTAAAGCAACATGATATAAGATTGTCACAAACAAAAGATGCTTTACTAGCACAACAGAATAGACTGAAAAAAACTATACAGAATTTGAAAAACATTAAAAGAGGTACGTAAATTAACATATATTATATAAATAAATTTTTTTTTGTTATTATTCAAAGCATCATTTTCAAGCTAATATATAATGATACTTTTATAGGAGAGATTTGTAATGGTTGCCGCAAAAATGCGAATAAAAAAGTTGTACACGTAGGAATACAATTTAGTTCTGGTGACAGTTTTCAAGAACATGGTTCAACTCAAACAAGTTTACCACCTATAAGTTTATCTTTAGAAAAATGCGCTAATGAAAATTCAGATATCGATGATAAAATTTGTCCATTATGTGGATCTTTTTATGGAAAGTCTATCGCATTTGCAGAATTTCATGAACATGTTTTGAGTCATTTTACAAAAGACGCATCTGTCGATGGGTTTGAACTTATTCATTAATCCTATGTACAGAAAAGTGAGGAAAAGTAATCCTATCAAATTTGTTGTCAATTTATTAACACAGTCTGAATTACTGTTGGATAAGTACAAGTTAGTAAAATATGTAAATAATTGATAATTCTCAAAGATCTATCTGCCTTATTTATAACAGTTTTCAATCAGTGAATTTTATAAAATGTTAATGTATTATTGCATCGATTTATCCAGAAAGAATAGCTGACATACAAATATTTTAGTATAGATTGTATATTTGTATCTTGCTTTTTGCAGGATATAAAAATTATTTACAAATATATTAATTATTTTCACAATAAAAATATTTCTAAATCAAATCTGGTTAATATAGCATGTAACAAAAAAGAGTACAATAGATGTTTAAATAACTTTTATTTCAAATACTTAGACTTTTTCTTAAGCAAGTTCTGGAGGTTTTATATCCTTACTATCAGAAGGTTGAACCGTGGATGATTCGAGAAGATTTTCATGAAACCACTCAGGTCGTTTCTTTGGCATCTCTACTACTCTTTGGTTCTACAGAAAAAATTAGTAGTACAAATTAGATTTAAAAATGATGTAAAGTAAGCATATTTGTTATATAAATATAAACCTAAAATAATTATATAGTCAAATACCTTCCAGAAGTCATCTGTCTTGCCTTCTTTTTCTCCTTCATAAATAACAATAACATTTTCTTCAACGGGATCTAATCCTAATTTTTCTTGAATAGCATCTTGCATTTCTTTAGTTTCTATTTTTACTTTTTCATAGCAATGTGCTAAATTAAGACATTTACTGTTAAGTTTTATGTACATTACATTCATAAAATTAATGAAAAATTAAAATATATTGAATTAAGTTAAATACCACATAAAAGTTTAGCCTCGTGGTAATTACCACAATTAGGACACATTAAAAGATTAGTTTTTGGAACAGGTGGCTTCCATTTATATTCAGGATATCCAAATTTTCTACTCAAACGTTTTTCAATGGTACGTCTACACGTTGGAACTCCCCATAAAATACCATTTTCAATAATGTCTTTGAGAGAAAATCGACCATCTTTGTTTACAGGTGATGGAACATTTAAACTACCATTATAATCTATTGCACATAATGCTTCTAAAAAGATAAAGAAAAAAGAATAGGTAGAAAAGATTGTTATATTTTACGCTATTAAAGAGTAGATATTAAAACATTATTTTTTTGTAATATTATAGGTTATGTTGTCAATTGTTTTTTATGGATGTATTCATATATCTATTAAAGAAATTATTTACCTGGAGGAAATCTGTTATTAAATATTATTTTTAATGCTTGTTCAATTTTTTGAAAAGCAGAATTTAATCTTTTTATAATAGAAACTGCCATTGTGTAACAATTTTAAGATCAACTTGTGTAAACCTGATCTGTTAGTGGACTTGGTGCTCCATCTTTCGAGCATAAAACTCGTTCAATGGTAAAATAAATTATAAGAAAATTATTTGTGGTTATTTATAAGTATCAATGTAAATAAACAGTAATGCAGTATTATGTACTAATTTTTTTATTTTTAAAGAAATTTTAATAATAAAAATTGTTAGTGTATAGTTACATCAATATATTATAATAATTGGTAAATACACAAATTGAATTTTTTATTAGACATTGATATACACAAATATTATTAACTATTACAAATATTAATTAATATAAAAAATATATATATTTTATATTAATATATATAGAATATTAAATGAGAAAAACACTTTTTTAGTATTAATTTTTATATTTAAATATATTTTAAATATATATACTCTCTTTTATACCTATATAATTTGTTTAATACATAATATAAATAGATAACTATTAAAGTAACATTTTCTTATATTATGGATTTAGAATATTAGGAAAAATGTCTGACGCTTTTGAAGAAATTCAAGCAATTAAAATTAAAAGGAATAGTTTACGTGAAAAATTACAGAAGCGAAAAAGAGAGAGACATGAATTATTTACACTTACTTCTTCCATACCATCTACCTCAACTGCAGATTCACCTCTTCCTGGTGGTAAAACGTTTGAAATCATTTTATTTTTCTTTATTAAAATAATATGTAACTGTATTTTTAAAATAGTATCTTTTTCTATAGATTCCAATGCATCTTCAAAATCTGATCATAATGAATATGAAAGAGATATTCTTTGTATATTACATGAGTCTTTACCAAATTTACCAATTACATCTGCGGAAATAATAGATCAACTTCGTAAAAATCTTAATGCCGATGTGTCTACCTCTGATATCCATAAAATTTTAGAGAAACTAGCCGCACAAGATATTATTAAGTTAGTGAGTTCTGTATTATTATTTTTGACATCTTTTTAAATATACTTATCACACAATAGTGATTTTAAGTTATCTACATAAATATTATTAATATTTAATTTGTTTTAGAATCAAAGAGGTCACGGAAAATGAAGTCTTTGGATATACAGTTCTCTCTGTCGCAGAATCACAATCATCATGTCTCTCTCAATCAGACGACACAGAAAATCCTGAAAGCGCAGAGACATCCGCATCTGAATTAAATGATTATATGCCTTCAGAAAAACAGATGAAAATAGATAAAAAAAATACAGAGGATATAATGTCATTGATCTCAATGCCCACAATAAGAGAAAAAGAAAGTAAAAAAGTAGGAGAGCAAATTTTGGATCTTTTGTCAAAACAAACATCTAAAGAAAAATCATTAGCGGAAAGATTTCGTTCTCAAGGCGGTGCACAAGTTATGGAATTTTGTCCACATGGAACAAGAGTAGATTGTGCTAAATTAAATGGTGGCCCAGGTTTTGCAGAAAAATGTAAGAAATTACATTTTAAAAAAATTATACAAAGTCATACAGATGAATCATTAGGGGATTGTAGTTTTCTTAATACTTGTTTTCATATGGATACATGCAAGTAAGTGTTCTGTTACATTTATTCAAATACATAAATTTACTCATTAATCATGCTTATTTTAAGATTTTTATAACTTATGATTACATATATCATATTTAGATATGTCCACTATGAAGTAGATGGCCCTACTGCACAAACAAAAGAAACAAATGATTCTGATGGTATTAACAATGCTACTATTAACAAGACATTAAATCCTGATAATAAAAATGGTAGTAGTACTAGTTGTACAAGTAGTGTAGGTAGTGAGTTAACTCTTTATCCGCCTCAATGGATACAATGTGATTTACGATACCTAGATATGACAGTTCTCGGTAAATTTGCTGTGATTATGGCTGATCCGCCATGGGACATTCATATGGAATTACCATATGGTACAATGTCAGATGATGAAATGAGGCAATTAGGAATACCTGCGCTTCAAGATGAAGGGCTTTTATTTTTATGGGTAACAGGAAGAGCAATGGAATTAGGAAGAGAATGTCTTCAATTATGGGGTTACGAAAGAGTTGATGAAATTATTTGGGTAAAAACAAATCAATTACAAAGAATTATAAGAACTGGAAGAACAGGACATTGGTTGAATCATGGAAAAGAACACTGTTTAGTGGGTATGAAAGGAAATCCACGTATTAATAAGGGATTAGACAGTGATGTAATTGTAGCAGAAGTTCGTGCAACTAGTCACAAACCAGATGAAATTTATGGTATTATTGAACGCATGAGTCCTGGAACAAGAAAAATTGAATTATTTGGACGTCCACACAATGTACAACCTAATTGGATAACACTTGGTAATCAAGTAGATGGAGTACATTTGATTGATCCACAATTAATTAAAGCCTTTAAAAAACGTTACCCCGATGGAAATTCAATGAAACCTACAAAATCTTAAAATTAATTACGTACCTAAAAATAAGCAATTTCATAATATGTTTTTCTTACTTGTTTAAAGGATTATTCTTTATAAAAGTACAAAAGTATGTAATTGTAAATATATTTTTATAAAAATACGAATTTACATATTATATAATATTATATATATAAGCTTTGAAATTTTTGTAATAGAAAAATTTAGGAAATTTCTGACTATAAGATAAGTGCATATACATAGGACATTTTTTTGGTGCATGTAAAAACTTGATATGTGTGGCAATTTAATTTTTAAATGTTTTTGGTTAATGTTTTATATTTAATAATATATTTTTTGTTATGGTTTTAATAATTTTAAAATATATATGTATATGTCTAGGTTTTCTTAATATTTTCATATAATTTAATTTCCACAAAACAGAAATAAGTATTAAATTAAGTCAAACTTTAAAAGTTAATATTTCCGAAAGTTACTTTTGTTACATATCAATTACTTATATGCACCTAGATTTAAGAATTAATTGTGAATAAACTGAATTATCTCGTTTACGTGTCGCTAAGCTACATATATGTAAAACTTTTGATATATAAACTATATAGGAATAAATATTTATCTGTATTAAATAAAAATTTAATTATTATATGTTTATAATTGTGATCAATATTATATTGATAAAATATAGTGGAATGATTCCATCACAGAGCAATTCATGAGTAAATTAATATAAAATACATATATTAGTTTGAATTGCAAAATATAAGTACTTTTAACAGTTTTTTTTTCATAAAAATATACATTCAATTAATATTATTCTACAAGTGTTTTAATTACACAAATAAAATTACATATACAAATAATTTTTTGTATTAAAATGAAATAATTATAAAAAACTTATTTATATGTGCAATTATAATTATAATTACGTTATTTATCGAAAGAAATACTATTTTGTTTTTGTTTTAAAATATTTCTTTTTAAAGAAAAAGTAAAGTTTTCATCTGTACTATTTCCTGATTTTCGTATAGATCGGTTAGGCGTTTGCAGTATTAAATTCGACTTATTTTCATTCCCTTTATTTTCTTTAGTATTTAAAGAGTTAATAATTTTATTGCAGGCATCAGTCCAATGCCGTTTACCGTGTTTATCTTCTGATATGAGAAAGTAATCACCTATTTTGAATCCAAAGTCTATACAATTTTTCTGTTCGGCGCATAATGATATTTGCTCTCTTGGTATAACAGGAAAAAATAGATTATATTTCTTAGGTATACGTCTTGTGGAGCGTGTTATAGCAAAACACGTATCAAAAAGAAAACAATAAAATTTCTGAAATGTAATTAGTAAGATTAAAACTACTTATTTATAAATGTTAGATATAAAAATTATAATTTATTTTTTATACGCGTATAATTTTGGGAATTTATTTTATATTGTAAAAGATTGACTTACCATTCCTTTCGAATCTTTTAATTGTCCCTCTGTAATTAATTCTGTTGCATTATTAATACATTCAGTTGGATCATATTCATTTTTAATATTGATTTTTGTTTGAGCTAATTTACATTCAGCCTTTCCCATAGCCTCATCAATATTCTGTAGTAATTCTGTGAGTTTATTAATTGACTCCTTTAAGGGAATTTGGTCTAAATGATCGGCAGTAGTATGTCTTAATATTTCTTTTATCAATAAAGGATATTTAACTATTCTTGATCGTGGTACATCTAAGTAAGCCCATAAGTCAAGAGAATGGGGTGTTCCTAACTTTCTTTTTAAAAATGCCTGGAAACGTTTATTAGTTGCTTTCTTTTCCTCGAGTAAATGCCTTGCCCATACTTGTGTTCTACATCTTTCTAAATAAGGTTCCGTTAATTTTGGTATCTGCAACAATTGTAATATGTACATTTTATTATTCGATCATATTATTAATAATTTGTTTTTTTACTTTGATATAAAAATTGTGTGTGTATATATTTCTTTATTTCATAAAAAATAATAATAAAGATTATACTAAAGACTAACCCAATTGAGTATCGTAGCACCAATGTTGTCTGTAAATCCCGAACAATCTCGTAAATTGATCAACTCATTTCGTAAATTACAATGAATTTCAATAATACTGGTAAGGTCACTGAACAGTGTACGTATTTCTTGCAAAGTGAATATATTACTAGAAATCAATGGTTCATAATAATGATCACGAAGAATGGTAAGTTCATCAATGAGCAAGTTTTCTCCGCAACATAATTCATAAATTGCCTCTTGTCTTTTTACTTCTCTTTGACCTAAAGTGCTATTTAATGTTTCTTTAACATTTTCATTTGCTATATCTAGCAACCAACTTCTAAGCGTAAAATTATTTGTACTATCTGAACTGTTTCTCCGTCTATAAAAGTCCATATAGAAAAATATTTATGAATCTGATTTATACGGCACATGAGAAAGTAATATTCGATTAGACAAGATAAATTTCACAATTCTATTTACTTTTTCCTTATTGTATTTGCATGTGCGTCTTCATCGGTAAATAAAAAATCATCTGTGTTTTGTTGGATACTAAATGATCTATGAAGAGTATTTCCAACTTTTACGCCTAAAGTACTAGAAGAGAATATACTACTAGCTACTTCTGTAATTCTGCGTCTCTTTTTCTTTTTTCCCGTATCTGATTCTATAGATATATCCATAGAATTAACACTAACCACATCACTTTTTGGTCGTTTTCTAGATCTCTATTAAATAAAATATTAATAATTATTAAAATATTATTACATATTTCATTTGTTAAGTCATCTAATTTTATACAAATAATATAATTACTAGCATTGTGGTTAACCTAAATAAACAATGAGACATTATCAATAATTACTTAATTATAAAATTTTTTCTTAAGCACTTCAGCGAACTGAATTATCTATAAAAAATACAAGATCTCTAGAACGATATTTAAACTGATAAAATTATGCTTGCGTCATATCAATGACAGTCTTATCACTTTCAATAATACCGAAGGATATGTCAACAAACATTCAAAAAACACATTATTTACAATAAAAATGCTTACCAGCCAAAATCTTTTTCGAGGTTCTTGAAATACCTCTTTTATTGTTACGTTGCAGTCATCTCCCATTTTAAGTTTACAAAAAATCTATTGTAATTTAATAAAATAATAGTTGATGCATAATACCGATCTAATATTACATGACGATGTATAAACGATATCGCATAATCATATACATCAAATAGTATTTAATTTTTCAATATGTGAAATAATTTGAAGTTTTAGATAAAAAAAAATCCTATTTATAATACAATACAATTTCTTACAAATACATTTTATTATAAATTCTTATTTTATTTGTAATACCATAATTTATAAAAATTATAACAAAATACATAGAAATAATGCTTAAAAATTTAATGTCACACTTGTTCTGTTCAACCGTTAGTCAAATTACAACACTTCGATTAATCTTATATCATGCAGTGCAATATGATTTAAAAATCAGAACAAGGATTCTTCATAAGCTTGGGGCGTGTGGCGCTACAATCGCGATTATCACTAAAGATGAAGTTTTCATTGCTGAATACTCGACCAATCATAAAGCGTCTTTTATTTATAGATTTTAGTTTAATTAAAACTCTTCCTATTAAAAACAGTCATATGCTTATAACAGTAGAGTAAAAATGATATGTACAAGTAAATTACTAAAATTTTCATTAAGTATTTTGGATCATTTCAACCAAGTTTGATTAATCTGAATCAACGATTAGTTTAATAAGCAGAACAGCCAATAGTAAAATTACAGTTAAATTTTGATTACACTGCCGAAAGATGTGTGTAGTTAAAAGTTCTGTTGTTGGCTATATTGTTAATCAATTTAATTGTTTATTCAAAATAATCGAAGTTAAATGATGATACATTCACGTACGCGTGCAAATTGTTTTAGTCATCATCATTAAGAAATCCGTCAATTCACTTTCAGTTTGTGCTATTACAACGTAGCTTCGTATATTCCTCATTAAGTGCAAGTAATAAGTAATTTTTTCTAATGTACATATATATATATTTATCAATTGTTAAATAATTATAATCATTTTTCTTTTTATTTTTGTCTTTACAATTTGTAACTTCGATTAAATGAAGTGATCCCATTCGTACGATATTCATCGTACGCGTCACATAATTTGAAGCATTGTACGATCCAAAATTTAGCTTGTACGATCCAAAATTCAGCTTGTATGTAATTAACGATAATTCGATATGTAAATATAATGTTCGATAAGTCTTGATTTTGTTTTTGTTTCGCGCTTCAGTTGTCGGTTGCAGCGCATCCTAGTGCACACAGTTTGTAATATATGTTATCGTGACTAAAAAAAAAAAGTGACTTGAAAATAGCTTGGAAACAAATAAAAAGTCAGGAAAAACCTGAAAAATAGAATTAGGAAAGAAAGAGAAAAATAAGAAAAAATTGAAAAATAGAATTAGAAAAAAAAGGTCATCAAGTTTGTAAAAGTTKGAACTTTTACTTTTTTTGCAGATTTGAAAATTAAAAATTGAAATTCAACAGATTTCAAYAGAAAGAAGATTGAGATTCAACAAATGTGGAAATCAGAAGTGTCAAATCCAAAATTCCAAATATTCCAAATTTTTTTCTGTGCGTACGATAATTTTTCTCTGTGTACGATAATTTTACGGCCCTGTGTTGATAAACAAGCTAAAGTTTCAGGGATCACTGATTGAATGTATTATGTTCAATATTGTTCTTACAGAACAAAATATAAACGTAACTTATAATAATTAAAATATATTTTATTTTTATTAGTAACGTAATATTTGAAATCAAATTATTTCCTTATCATGATATAACATAATCAGGCATGTGTAAAATTTTTTTTATTATTGCAACGTTAACCCTTTCGCTACGAGCGTTAACTATTGACAGCATCCGCGTAACGACCTGTGTATGTAAACGTCTACTATAGACGACATCCGATTGACGACATATTTGTACGAGATTTGGCTATAGAATTCGACAGCGTGATTGATACTGTTTGACTATCATCCCCGCGATATGTCTGTTGTTACGCATATTGAACATCGATGGCATTTGGCTCATTTTTTAATTTATTTTGAACAAATGTAATATAAGCATAAATCGGTTTCGCGGCGAGATCTGCAGTAGCGAAAGGGTTAATAAAAATTTGATAATAATAAATAGAAAATTAAATTGAAAAGTTCATTTAAGAATTGAATGAATTATATTTCATATTTGTGCCCATAATTATGAAAGTGGTCTAAGTCATATATCTCTTGTTTCGAGATATTTAAAGAATTACATTTGTACACTATATGAATTCTATATAATATTGAAATAACGAACATTATCTAAAGATTCATTTTTGACAATATTGTGAAAATTACATTGAATTTATTTAGTTTATAATAAGGTGGTATAAAATAATTGAGATAAACTCTTTTTTTTTTTAAATTTTGACTTMAACMACTTTYATAATTATAGGCACATTTGTATGCATTGATTATATAAGTAATGTATTTATTTTTCGTTATAAATAATCATCGTTGAATTAAATTTCAATCCTTTTTTATTTTTGTCTAAAATTGTTTTTTTGAAATATACRTGTATATGCATATTCGAAGGCACACATATAAAGACAAAATATTAAATATAATTGTTTACTGTTTTATAAAAAATATAGTTATACAAAATTTGTGGGATGTACCAAAGATTTTGAAGATATTTAATAATAAAATGTTTAATTATTTAATAAAAATATCTGTTTCTGATTTACAGCTTCAATTGTTTTATAGCTTTATGTATAGTTATACTTTCTATATTAGTAATGATACAAATATATAGCACATGCTGCAATCTCCAAAATCTGGCTCGGTATTGCTTGAGATCTATCAAAATCTAATTATAAATTACGTAACGCAACTTCTACAGAGCTGCATATTTCAATGTGTTTTTAAAATGTTTTTTTGTAAGTGTACTTAAACACTAAGGTGGAGTTGTGACTTTTATAAACAGCTTTCATAATACTAAATCTTAGGTATAGTGCTCTTCGGACATTTGTCTGATATATATCCAAACTTGTACATGAAATGTTTTATTTTCGAAAGTCGTAATATCTATACGGATGATTCATCAATTATATCATGTTCTTCGATTCTGATGCATGTGCCAATTATTTCTTCCGAAATGCGTTCTCTTGCAATTTTAGGTCTTTCATCATATTTATGCTATCATTATACGCAACATCTTCTGTTAATTGTTTAATTGTAGTAGTGTTATTGAGGACAAAACTATTCTCTGAATTGTTACCTTTTTTCTGGGAAAAACGTTGTGACGCCGACTTTTTGGTTTTTCTTACTTGATCATTAACTTCTCTATTAATTTCATTTATTCGTAGCGTATTGTTCAGTCGTGTCGTGATATCCGCGGTGTCTATTGCAGAAAATTTTGTCCGTAAACTAGATTGCAGATCTTTCCAGGAAAAACAACGTTTTTCTAATCGAATGAATGTTCTCGCTGATCCCCTTAACATTCGTTTACAATACATTACTCTCTGAAGATCAGACCAACAACATACATTTGCAATAAATTCGTATTTATATAGCCATTGTTTAATACTTGTGTTATCATCACCACTAAACGTTGATATTACTTCTTCTAATTTTTTCATTGATGAAATTTTCAAGGCATCCTTTTTTTCATAAGACTTTTTGATTTTGTTCGAAATTCTCGGACACTCATTTAGCATGTTGTAATTATGTTCGGCTACTAGTAGTTGCATCTTGGTGCAAAAATCTACAAATTGGTTCTGTCCACACAGATGTATAAATCTTGAACTTGTCTCTGAATCCATAGTTCTCAATATTGTTTCCATTTTGATAAATTTAACGTTTATTTTTTAATTTTTACTGTTTGTATTATTATTCTAAATGAGATCTTAAAAACTGTGATGTGGTAACGTTAAACAATTTATTATAAAATATAAACGTAGTTACGATTATTTTAATGTTAACAATGTAATATATAAGAAGAATAAAAACGAAAAGACCTGTACGATTTATCGTCGTTGTAATAAAGAACTACTGAATCAGTACTGACGCTTTTCCTTTGTCTCATGATTCCAACTCGAGATGTTTCTATCTCGCACGCATACCTACATGCGAATTCATCYTAATATATTTATATCAAACTCTCAATTGAACTATAATTCTTGACATGTAAWAATGTAAACAACGAAAGAACGAAACATAACGTTCTGATAAATGATCAATATGTATGTAAAATTTCTTTTTTTCTACCTTTCCTTTTTATTTTTTTTTATTTTTCATTAAAAAAAAATTGTCCAGTGTAAAGATTTGTTCACAATGTACCTAGACGACATGCGCTCGCATAGGGATCCTATAGGAGGGATGCGTCATGTACATTGTTGGGGGACCGGAACTCGATTTTGTGCGCGAATGATTCAAACATTGAAATAATTATGAAATAATGAATTGCATCAAATACAGAAAAAAATGAACTATATTTAATGATAATTAAAAATTTATATTAAAATAGAATAGGTTACACGAAAAAATTATTATTAATTCAAGCGGTCCCCCAAACTTTTTAGCCAATGGCACATGAGTTGAATATTGTTGGCGCATCCCTCCTACAGGATCCCTACGCTCGCATGACATTCAGCGCCGAAACTGTGTGAGAACGCTCAACTAAAGTCTTACTTAGATTCAACAAGTTGATGATATTTTCGAATTCATTCGAAATAATATGTTATTATTTTTTGTTCATGAAAAATTTAACAAACTACATTATGAAAAATAGTATTTTTTGAAACAATTTTTGTTCGAATAAAATTATATTTTTTCAAAAATTTGAAAAAACTTCTGACCAATAAATTGTGCCTATTTTAGTATAGAACAGTTTATGAATATTACAATGTCCAATGATACTTAAGCATAGAATAAGTATCGAAAGATTAAAAACTTAAGAGAAGAAAAAGGAAACTTAGCATAGAGTGATTTTCATCATAAAGGAATAATAGTCATAGATTCATTTTGTAATGAATATATTTTTAACCTATATTGCTGTTGCGAACGTTGTAATATTTAAAACTGTATTTTCATTTTATGTTAAGAAAAAATTGCAATAATGATACGATAAACATATTTCATAAAATTTCGTTTAAGTAGTTTTTACGCATTTAAAAAAATGACAGATAAACAAAAGATAATTTTCTGTGGAGACGTTAAAGGACATTTTAAATTTCTATTTACGAAAATTGAAAATATTAACAAAAAAAATGGACCGTTTGAATTTTTATTATGTGTTGGAGATTTCTTCGGTGAAAATAATATACAGCTTGAACCATACAAAAATGGTATGAAGAATATTGTTGTTCCAACGTATATTATTGGGCCAAATAGAGAAAAGGATTTAAAATATTATCCTGATATAGATGGATATGAAATTTGTCAAAATTTAACTTATCTTGGTAGAAGAGGTTTATATGTAGCAACATCTGGATTAAAGATAGCATATATCAGTGGTATCGAAAGTAATAAAACTGAGTGTAAAGAAGTCTGTTTCCAGAAGAACGATGTTGTATCAGTAAAGAATGCCTGTTTAAAAGGTCAACCAAGTTATCGTGGAGTAGATATATTATTATCTTCACCATGGCCCAAAGGGATTACCGATTTAGATCCGAATAAGCCTGATTTTAAATTTCATGGATCTGAATTAGTAGCTTGGTTGGCTGCTCAAATAAAACCAAGATATCATATCTCAGCATTAGAAAATATTCATTATGAAAGGCCACCCTATAGGTAAATATAATATATAATAAATTCGACTAATTTTAAGTAAAATAACAATAAAATGACTTTATTAATAAAAAACTAATTATATTCTTTTAGAAATCATAGTTTAGATGAAAGTGGTATTGAAATAGCAACTAGGTTTATTGCTCTTGGACCTGTAGGAAATAATGAAAAAAAGAAATGGTTATATGCTTTGAACTTAACTCCTATAGACAGAATAAGATTATCGGAATTGGTTATGAAAACAACAGATGAAACATCTAGTCCTTATCTAAAGCACCTGTTACAAGATGAACTAACAGAAACAAAAACTACACAATTTTTTTATGACATGAAATCTAAATCTAATAAACGAACAAAAAATTCTGACTATTCTTATAAAAAGCTTAAGACAGAATTTGATCAAGCAAAATGTTGGTTTTGTTTATCTAGTCCTGAAGTATCTAAGCATTTAGTAATCTCTGTTGGCACAGAAGTTTATGTAGCACTTGCCAGAGGAGGATTAGTCGAAGATCATATGTTAATTTCGCCAATAACACATCATCAAAGTTTATCAGTTTTACCAATTAACATTTTAAAGGAAATGGAATTATATAAAAATGCAATAAAAACGTATTTTGCAAATACAAATCGAGTACCGGTTTTTTTTGAAAGAAATTATAAAACATCACATTGTCAATTACAAGCTGTTCCAATTCATGAAAATCAAGCATCTGTAATTAAAGAAATGTTTGAGGTATATTATTTTTCTATATTATTTATCTTTATATAATAATTTGATTTTTATCTAAAATACAATTTTATTTTAAACAGGAAATAGCAGAAAGTTATAATTTCAAAATCGAGGAACTTCCACTTCACACAGATTTGCAACAAATTGCAAAGGCTGGTGTTTTATACTTTTACGTAGAGTTGCCTGATGGACGATTATTGTATTATAGAATTAAAAAGAATTTTCCATTAAACTTTGGTAGAGAAGTATTAGCATGTGATCGGATATTGGATGTTAATCATAGATCAGATTGGCGAGATTGTCAAATGAATAAAGATGAAGAAACTGAATTAGCCATAAGAATCAGAACACAATTCAAACCATACGATGTAGACAATTAAAGTAATTTATACATATACGTATACAAAATATTTTTACATTGTGGACAAAATTTCATATTTACAAATTTCGACTATTATTAAAAAAATGATTTGCAATTGTTATTATATTTTATAGTATGTTTATTTATATATTAGCAAAAAGGATTTACCAAAAACTATTATATTAATTTTAACAATATTTTTTAACAACGAAGTTCACGACACTGATGGAATTGATGCTGGATTTAAACCATGTTGTTTCATTTGTATAGCAACATTAAATAAATAATCATAACATTCAGTCCTGTAAACAGTATTAAGAAATATTATTTATAATTTACACTATGTATTTAAGCTTTTAGATACTACTAATGAGTATAGTTACTCATTATTTGCTGCTCTCTGTGCAAGTGTCTGCACGGTAGAAGTGTACTCATGAACGACATAGCTATATTAACCCCTTAACCTACAACTACGGGCATAGCCTGTGTACGATGATCGGGCCAAACTTAAATATTAAAGGCATAGCCCGCGTACGATGATCGGGCCAAACTTAAATACTACGGGCATAGCTTGTAGTACGATGATCACGATACGAAAAGATAATAGGAATACATCACGAGCTCTGTCTGTGTTATTTACAAACCGCGACCTTCCTACAACGAGCGATGCCCATAATATTTACGTTTTGCTCGATCAGTATATTACTCAAGTCGTGCGAATGGCTCGAAGGCTGCGCGAACTTGTTTACGTTTTCGGCCCTAAATTCTCGAACATAAATCGTAGGTTAAGGGGTTAAAAAGGTTAAAAAAAAGTGCATATATAAAGTAAATATATCTTACATTGTTTTGGCTTGTTGCCAAGTATCTCCCCAAACATAAACACCATGTCTACGTACTAGAACTGCACATGTTTCTGGATATTCAGTAATTGCCTTATCTAATTCCTCTCTTAAATCTTCTTCAAAAGGTGTATTTTCTATTATAGGTACCACTAGCTTTTCATCATAACGATAAGCTTTTCCTAACTTTTGATTTCTTATACCTATGAAGACAGATAAAGCATATGTTTATATAAACTCTTTTCATTATTTTTAGATGTACAACACTTCCAAAGTAGATTATACATATTCTATTATTCTTTATTATACTTTGTTTAACTTTCTGTTACCTTTTATCATTTCAAGATGAGTGACCTGAAATTCTTTTCCAGGCCATAATAAAGTAACCATCAAAGCAGCTTTAGAATGTGTATGGATTACAGCACCAGCATTTCTTCTAAGATATGCACACATAAATAATGGAGTACATTGTGATTTTTTTAATTTTTTTTCAGCTGGTGGTAGTTCTAAATCTATTCCATTTATATCTTGAACAAACATATCTTCTGCTTTTATTCGTTCTTTCTGTACGCCTGATGGAGCTATGTAGATCTTGTTTCTACAATAATGATAAATTTTCTATTTTATTTTTCCATTTTTTTTATGTATAGTTTATAAATATTATGAATATACAAACTCATGCTTGATGGATATACCCCCACCAGTACCAGTAACCCATCCTAAATGATAAAATTGTTGACATAATTCCGGTATTAAATTTCGAGGATGTTCCTATAATATTGAATTTAATATTGAATTATAATATATATATATATATATATATATATATATATATATA